TTCATTGAGGAATTCTTTTCCTTTTTAAAAATATTTTTATTGCGGGCCATTCTCTCCCATTCAGTTTAATTAAACAAGTTTTTAAAGTATATGCTTAGCAATATATTTCCTTTGAGCTCTAGAAAATCAACTTCTCTGTGTATAGGAACTAAAATTTGGGTAGTAATTAGGAAATAGTATAGTTATATGACAAAGCATATGATACTGAAAGTATATTATGAGAAGTCAGTAATTAATAATCAATATGCTTTTAATTTATAAAGGAAGGTTTCATGGAGGATTTAAGATTTGAGATGATTCTTGAAGGCTGGGTATGAGTTGATAGAAGAACGGTATAGAATAGGGAGTAGTAAGCAGCATGAACAGAGGCTTAGAGTTTCAAAGTGCCAGACAGTAACTTGAAGATGTTTTTAGGCAAGAACCAATATGTGGGCATCATGTTAAAGCAGGCATAATTAACTGGTCTGTCATCACAAATTAATATTGCACATCCAGTAAGTGGACAATTAGGAACTCACAAACTCAAGTCTTTTGAACTTAAAATCCTTGCTATGTCACACTGATTATATCAGCTTCCTTGCAATTTCACCGTTCACTGAGAATCTACTAGGTGCTACTACATCCTGAGAATACAAAGATGAATATTATTACATGGTTCTTTCTGAGAAACAGGTGTGTGTGTATACAAACACATGTGTATGTATACTGTGGTTAATTTTGTGCCAGTCACTGAATGTTTATATGCTATAGAGAAATTAATCTACTTTTCCTATGATTATCTCATAGTGGGAGTATCTTCTTGGATGGAGATTCTAGCATTTAAAGAATATTGGTATAATTCAACTATTAAATGCAAGCAATCTACTTAATGTAGTGTTCCCAAACTGGAGAAGAGCTAGGTTACATTTCAGTGAGCAATAATATGTCATTCTTCAATGTGGCACACTTTCCCAATGGATTAATGAGTATATTTGACTATATGTGATTTTCGCCTTACATGCCAGTTTAATAATCTGTGGCTATACTGTAGCTCTTTGAGCTTTCTCACAATTTTGTTGTCAACTGTTAATTAAATAGTGAGTGGGTGTTTACTCTTTTCTAAATGGAAATACCTTTATGTCATTTAAAATGATTTAAGGATAATAATCTACTTTAACCAAGTTGTACAGCATTTCAGAGTAGGAGCTAAGAGCATGGATTATGGAGCCAGTCTGCCTGAGTTCAAATCCATACTCTGCTACTTATTACCTGAGTGACCATTGCCTCCATTTTTCCAGCTGTAAAGTAGGGGTAATAATAATACCTATTTCATAGGTTCATAGGCTTCTTGTATTTGGCACATAGTAGACACTATCAAGTGTTAGTTATTAAAGGTCTGTTATCCCTTATTTGAAATTTTTAAATTAAAATCAAACTATAAACTGACAGTTTTTATATAATTCATTTGACTACAAAGTCTGAACTCATTAATGTCTTTGTATTATATACTCTGTTTTTGATTCTATACTTGACTTTAAGTTATTTGTATATTAAGTTTGCATAAGCCCTTTGTAAAATGCAGGTATTCATTGTTATTTTATGATACTTATTGGACATATAGTTGACAGTCTTTCCCATGAAGTAAAAATAAACTTGGGTTTCTTGTAATTATTATTAGCTAAGTGTAGTTGGCCCGCTATCTGTGGGTTCTGCATCTGTGGATTCAGCCAGCCACTGATTGAACATATTGGGGACACAAATAAAAAAAAGGATAGTTGCATCTGTACTGAACACGCAAGACTTTTTTCCTTGTCATTATTCCCTGAACAATACAGTATAACAACTATTTACACAGCATTTACATTGTATTAGGTTATAAGTATTATAATCTGTAGATGACTTAAAGTATACAAGAGGATGTGCGTAGGTTGTATGCAAATACTATGCCATTTTATAGAAGAGACTTGAGTATCCATGGATTTTGGTATCCATGGGGGGTGGTGGGGTCCTGGAACCAATCCCCCATGGCTAATAAGGGATGATTGTAATGTTAACAATAGCTTCTATTCTTTGAATGCTTACCGCATACCAGGCACTGTATTGGGTATTTTATATCTATTACCTTACTTATTCCCTTAATCCTCTATAGGGAAGATTGTATTGATCCTGTTTTTAATGTGCTGAAGCTTAGGGAGATTAAGTAATTTGCCCAATGTCATATAGTCATGCAGTGTGCTAGCAATGCTAGGATTCAGGCCTCATCTCTCTGACTTTTTTGGTAACTCCTGTGTACTTTCCCTAACCTACACTGTCTCTATAATTTAGAAAATTTTCTTAAAGAAATAAAAATCACCGATATGCTAAAGTACATTGTTGTTTTGCTCTTTTTACCTTTTATCTTAGGTGCTGGAAAACCCCCTATGTTTGGTGATTATGAAGCTCAGAGACATTGGCAAGAAATTACTTTTAATTTACCAATCAAACAATGGTATGGATAATTTTAACTTGATTTTATTGTTTATCACAGTCAGTTAATATATATTGTTTGAAAATATTTAGAAGGAGAACATGCTATTTTCTTCATCTTGCGCATCTTCATCTCTTGCATACTGGTAACACTTATATGCCTTGCATATTGTAAGCCCATCTTTGAAATTTCATGGTTCTGAAAGTTACCCATATACTCAGCTGGGATATGCTACTGAACTAGAACTTTGATGATAGAGCACTATATGTCCTAGAAACTCCTCTGGGCATAAACTATGGAAATACCATTATGGGTTAAAAATATTTCTTCCCTGTTCCCTCATCCACTGCTTCTCCCACTAAAGATCACTATGATTATAGCTATAGGTAAAAATAGAAGGGAGCCTTGGCAATAGCAGATTTGTGGAGCCAGAAAGGGGACCAAGGGGAGAAGCCTATAATAATAGGACTTGTTTTTACTCTGAAAAATTCACCTATGTCCTTTTGGTTCATCTTTGAATACCCTGCATCTAATATAAGGCATGGCACATTGTAGACCCTCAGTAAAAATTTGTTGAAGCAATGATTATTTAGATGTTCTTTTTCACATAGTCTTATTTCCTTGCTTTCACTGTGTATTGTGAAGGAGGAGGTCAACTCTACTCTTCATTGGTTTTACCGTACAGCATATATGGAACCTTCTGTTTTTTAGAACTCAGAGAATTTCATAGAAATTTTTATTAATTATTATTGCTCCCAGTCACTTGAACAGTGGTGATTAACCTTAATTTTATGTACAAGTCTACCTGGAGATTTCACAAAGTTTCTCTTTTAGAGATATGAGATATAAAAAAGCAGTAGCTCACTGGTGAAGAGTACAGGTGCTGGAGTTAGACTGCCTGAGTTCAGATCCTAGCTTTACTCTTGTATTTACTAGCTGTTGTGACCTTTGGCAAATTATTTAACATTCTCTACCACAGTTTTATCACTTGTAGAATGGAAATAATAGACTACATATTTCACTGGGTTACTGTGAGAGTTGAATAAAATGATACATGTAAAGTACTTAGACCAGTGCTCTCAATAAATGTTAGTTGTGGTTATAGCTTCATAGAAATTTATGCCTGTGTCATTTTTATTGAATATATTCTGATAACAATTGATGATATTATTTATTGACTCACTGGATGGCTGGTAGATTATTTGGGAGACTGGCTTTATAAACTGTTCATATTTTTCTGTTGATTGCTTTGGTCACTGCTTTTATAGAACTCCTTTATCAGAGAGTTTCATGCAAGAACTTTATGTTAAACTTTCTGTTAATAGGTTGACTGTTCCCTCATCAGAGTATGGAGTATTTCAAATGGAAGAGGAACCTGAAATACTTTAAATGTCTCTTAGCAGGGGAATGATTAAATAAAGTATATTTCTCCTGTGCACATGTGCACGTTTTTTCTATGTAGACTCCTAAAAGTAGGAATCTAAAGTAGACAGTTTTAATGGACACTAACACCAGAATGTCTATTTCTACTTACCTTGACCAAACACTTAATAATACCAGATTCTTAGAATTTACATTTCCTTAAGTACTTGTGATGTTGAGCATCTTTCTTTATATTTATTGATCATTATATTTCTTTTCAAAATTGCTTGTTCACTTCTTTCCCCCATGTTTCTAATGGATTGATTATCTTTTTTGTGATAATTTGTATGATTTTTAAATAAACAGTTATATTAGTTTTCTATGCTGTGTAACAAATGAACACAAGTGGTAATTACTTAAACACACATTGCATAGTGTCTTTAGATCAGAAGTCTGGGCACATCTTATCTAGGTATTCTGCTCGGTTGGGAAGGCTGCAATCCAGGTGTCAGCTGGGCTGCAGAATTAGAGGTGCCACCCATGAAGTATCTATTTCCCAGTTCCCTCAGGCTGTTGGCAGAACTAATTTGCTTGCATCTGCAAAACTGAGGGCTTCAGTTTCTGGTTGGAAGCCACCCTCAGCTCCTAGAGTCTACTCGGCAATTTCTTATCATGTGGCTTCTCCAACGTGGCTGTATACTAAAACGTGATAGCTTGGTTCTTCCAAGTCAGTGAGACACAGTCTGGCTAGTATATCTGCTAGCAAGACAGAATCTTACATATACATAAAACATAAGTACAAGAGTGACATCCTATCACATTTGCCATATTACTGGTTAGAAGCAAGTCACAGGTCTTGCCCATTCTCAAGGGGAGGGGATTGTATACACTCAAGGACCTGAACACCAGGAGATGGTGATGTTCATAGGGATTACCTTAAAATCTGTCTGCCACAACAGTATGCTACGTTTTAATCATTTTTCTCGCGCGTGTGTGTGTGTGTGTGTGTATGTGTGTGTGTGTGTGTGTGTGTGTGTGTAGATGTATGAAATAAATGTCTTCTTCGGGTTAGTTCTTGTCTTTGAATTTTTTATGGTGTCTGTTGTATAAAACTTTTTACATCTTGTACAGAAATTCTTTGAACTATTCTTGCAACTTTTCTGTAACTTTGAAAGTGTTTCAAGTTAAAATTTTTTTTTCTTAAAGCAAAAATATTCATAATGACTCTGGATTATATGTTAGAAAAAATTACATCCTGGAGTTAATGGTCATACTCTTGAATGTAATTTTATAATTTATGTGGTAGCCACTTTTTTTTTTTACTGAAAAAGCATCCACTGAGATTACATGGAAATTCATTGGTAAAATACATTTCAATGTATAAATATGATTTAAACAACTTTTTAGGTATACCAAAGTACAGTATATAAAGCAGGAGTATCAACTAGTTGCTTTGTTTCTACTGGTAGCTTTTGAACTTTTACTTCAAACACTTTTAAGTTATCTTCTTCTATGCCTCTTCTTATTTATGAATTTCCATAAGAATGGGGATCACAGTTGTTAACCTTATCGTTTTTTTCCTCCTAATCCAACCAGTGAGTTTATTGTTAGTATGTATCTTTGCATGCTTACAGCTTGCTGTCAATGCCTCTTTTATTTAGCACCAGTGGATCTCAAGGTTAAAGTAAATGAAAAGTAGCTTTTGTCTTATAAGAAGCTGAAAACCAAATCAAGTTGTATTGGTCAAAATGTGATTCCTGAATTACTTGATGGTTTTGCATTGCTGTATCCATTCCAATAGTTCTGTGGCCAGTGAACAATTGGAACTATTATTGAGCACTTACTTTGTGTCAGGCGCTGATTTAACAGCTTGTTTAACTCAATGCTTCAACAATTTGATGAGGCTGATACGATATAACTTTATGCCAATGTGCCCTATAGTAACATAAATTTGGAAATAACACAATTGGTGCCTGTCTTCAACCATCTTTGTCTAGAGAAGTGGATCCTTTGGCCT